TATTGGCGTGGTATCCACAAATTGCCAGAAAGGTGGTCAAAATGTGTAGAAAACAATGGCCAATACTTTGAATAAAATGTTTTATACTTTCCCATTATTAATTAGTGTTTTATTTTCACAAAAAACGCTCATTTCATACAGGTATACCTGGTATATATATATATGTATATATATATATATATATATATATATATATATATATATATATATATATATATATATATATATATATATATATATATATATATATATATATATATGTATAATTATATATATACATATATATATATATATAAATATATATATATATATATATATATATATATATATAAATATATATATATATATAAATATATATATATATATATATAAATATATATATATATATATATATATATATATATATATATATATATATATATATATATATATATATATACAGACGTGTTCAAATTATTAGACTATAGATTTAAGAAAATTATTTTCCGTGATTGAGTTCAAATATCTATTACATTTTCACAAGTATCACAGTTAAAAGATTTTAAGTATAAAATATGACATTTTTCTAATGTTTTTACATACTTTTTATATTTGGCAACGTCACTTTTTTTTTGTTAGAGCGTTTTCAATATTGGGAGGCAAGTCAGCGCATGTTTTTTTTCCTTTAGTAGCAAAACGTTGCAGCAGTTGTTTGGGTGTCATTTTAAAGTAATTTTAATTACTTTTAATTTATTTTCTTTACAAAATTACTTTATGTATAAAAACTTAATTCGAATTTACTAATAAATTGTTTTTGTTTAGGAATTGTACAGTAAAACTGGTGAAATTATTTTATTTTAACAATGGGCAAAAAAAATGATATTTCCCCCAAAAAATATTCTGCTGTAAAAACTTTGTTGGGTGAAAAGGTTTACGCACAAACTCAAATAGCTTTAAAAGTTGGTGTAAGTCAGAAAACAGTAAGCAGAATAAAAAAATGTGTTGATAATCAAGAGCCATATGAGCACCACAGAATAGGGAATTGTGGTCGTAAAAGAAAAATAACCCCAAGGACACAAAGAAATCTGGTTAAAATGGCACTTAATAACAGAAGAGCCACATCTAAGGTGTTGTGTCAACAACTTAATGAAGCAGGAGTCGATGTTTCTCCAGTTACTGTTCGGAGAAGGCTTTTTGAAAGTGGTTTGAAAACAAAAGGTTACACCAGCGATGGCTAAAAAGAGGCTAGAATGGGCTAAAATTCATGAAAACATGTCTATCTATGACTGGAGTAAGGTAAAATGTATGCAAAAATTGTATTCAAAGTCATTTTGAGAGTTTTCACTTAACATTTGATATCAAAATTTATTTTAAATATGAAGATGAGTTCTAAAAAAATTTAGGCAATTTTTTTTTCTAAAGAATCTCTCAAATTTTATCTGTAATTTTTTGCAAAGTGTTTCTGTGTACTCATTTGTATATTTATTATATCCAGGTATGTTTTAGCGATGAATCCATCTTTTTGGTGGTGGAAGAACAGAGCCAATATGTTCGAAGAAGACCAGGAGAAGAGTTCAAGGCAGAGTGTGTTAGCCAGAGTGTCAAGCATCCAACGTCTGTTATGGTGTGGAGTGTCATGTCAATACACGGACCGGAAATGTTGTACATCGTAGAAGGCACCATGAATCATGTACAATATATTAAAGTGCTACAAAATAGGTTAATGCCCCAAATTAAGACATGATTTCCAGAGGGAGATGTAATTTTTAAGCACGATGGGGCTCCGTGTCATAAAGCCAAAAAAGTGACAGAATTTCTTCAGCAGAGCAGAATCAAGACATTGCCGTGGCCAGGAAATAGTCCCGACATGAACCCCATTGAAAATTTGTGGGCTGTTGTAAAGAAAAAGATCAAGAAATAAACAATTACCACCAAAGTGCAACTCATCGAAAAACTGATACAAATATGGCATTAAGACCAAGACATCAAAAACATTTGTAAAACTCTGGTAGAAAGCATGCCGAGCCGCATTAATATGCTTATTAAAGCCAAGGGGCTCCATACCAAGTATTAATTAGGGTTTTTTTTATATTTACGAATGTTATATCTGTAATATTTTTATAAAAATAAAAAAAAAAAGAGAAAAAAATTTTAGTCTAATAATTTGAACACGTCTGTATATATATATATATATATATATATATATATATATATATATATATATATATATATATATATATATATATATATATAAATATATAAATATATATAAAAATTAGTAGAAAATCACTTAACAAATTTTTTTTTTCATTTTACACTGTGTTTCATTAACAAAGACTCATCAGAAATCTCATCAGCTTTCTGATGAGTCTTTGTTGATGAAACACAGTATAAAATTAAAAAAAATTTTGTTAAGTGATTTTCTACTAATTTATAATTGCTCTGTTCTTTTAAGAACATTGAGCACTCTATTTTGTAGAATACATTTTTTTAAATTGTTTAAATATATATATATATATATATATATATATATATATATATATATATATATATATATATATATATATATATATATATATATATATATATATATATATATATATATATATATATATATATATATATATATATATATAGGCTTGGTCAGGAAGCGGGAGCGATCGCTCTTGATTGCTGACCATGTAAATAATATTTAGTTGCGAAAAGCTGGCCAGATTTTTTAGTTGTTTTGAGAACATTTTAAAAAGCAAAAAAAAAAAGCGCAAAAGATTAATTGGACCGATAAGAAACAATTACAAAAAAAAAAAAAAAATTAGGCAAATAAAATATCTTTAAACATGAAAAAACTTAAAGCTAAATAAATTACGTTTAGAACAAATATTTTCGAAACATCGCTTTTTTGTAATTTTTTTTATAAATTAAGCGATGTTTTTTATATAAAGTAACAACTTACGATTGTTTAAAAAAGAAACAAATGCTCTTTATTTAGCAAAGTTCGCAAGTTTTAGTTTTATTTCAACTAAATTATTTTATAAATAAAAAAGTTAATTTTGTCAATACCTATTTTATGTTTCGCGTAGTTTGAAAAGTTTAACATATTTGAAGCAATTCTTCTTAGTAAGATAAACAAATGAAATAATTAAATCATTAAATTACCATAGAAAATTAAATTAACAAGATAGAAATCAACTAAAAAGGTTAAAAATACTTTATGACAAGGAAGCGAAACTGCTTCACAATATCGCTGATGATGTTTAGTGAGTGGGCTTTTTAATTTTAATTAGTATTTAAAGCAGAAAAAAGTATAACGAGTTTCAAGGATGGCAACTTAAGCGAAAATAATTAGAGTTGGTAAACCAATATATAGAAACTTTTCTTTATATCTAATTATTTGCTTTATATATATTTGTGTTCTGTCGTGACCTCAAGCACGGTGTTTGTTCATCCGCGAGTTCCTTTGTATGCGTTGTTTGTGTTTAGTAACCAGAAACTTCTTATATGTTTGTTACATAATTAGTTTTATTAACTATAACGATTAGAACTTCATTGAAAACGCTATTATTTTTGTAAGTCTTTGTTTGAATCATAAAAATTGCTTTAAAAGATACATTACAATAAAAAACAGACACACAAAATTACATTTACATAAAGAATACATACTTTTTAAATAAAAAATAAGAATATACTAATAAAATCTATAATTTATAATAAACTTTTGAAATTTTGACAATTTAATATATATTTAAAATATTTATTTTTGTAAACAAATAATATATATTTTTAAAACAAGAAAACTAGAAATCTCAAAACGTAACAAATCGTGAATATGACAATTTCTAAAACATTTCAACAGAATACTCTAGAACTTTATTTCGCTAAGTCAGCGTATTTTTTGAACTAATAGAATTAGTTTCTTCGTTAATTTGGCGGGTTTTTAGTGTTCGCGAATATTTTTTTTATTCTTTCGCACAAAGATGTTTTGAGAACATTCAAGTTTATTATGTTTCCATGTATGTCCGTAAAACAAAAATTTTTTGTTTCGTACATAAACTTAAATGTTCTCAAAACGACTAAAAAACCTGGCCAGTTTTTCGCAACTAAATATATAATCTCCGTGGTCAGTATTCGAGAGCGATCGCTCCCACTTCCCGACCAAGCCTGTATATATATATATATATACATATACATACATACATACATACATACATACATATATATACATATATATATATATATATATATATATATATATATATATATACATATACATACATACATACATATATATATACATATATATATATATACATATATATATATATACATATACATACATACATATATATATATATATACATATATATATATATATACATATATATATATATATATATATATATATATATATATATATATATATATATATATATATATATGTATATATATATATATATATATGCAATTTATATATATATATATATATATGCAATTTATATATATATATATATATATATATATATATATATATATATATATATATATATATATATATATATATATATATATATATATATATATATATATATATATATATATATATATATATATATATATATATATATATATATATATATATATATATATATATATATATATAGGCAATTCTGTGAGAAAGAGGGAAGAAAAAAATAACTGTTTTTTTAATTCAAAAATTTTTAAACAAAAAAATTATTTAAAAAAGTCATATAATTATACATAGTATGGTTTTAAAGTTGTAAGGGTTGTATAAATGTGTTTTGATGTTTATTTACAGTCATGTTGTGTAACGTTAAAAATTGTATCATAAAACCATAATTGAAAACTTTGATATTGTTATAGTGTCTTTTTTTAACATAGTTTACATATATTTATATATATATATATATATATATATATATATATATATATATATATATATATATATATATATATATATATATATATATATATATTTGTTGTAAGTATTTTTAAAATGTTTAAACCTTTGCACCAAATTCAACAAGGTTTGCAAGCTTTTGAAGACACATAGCAACAAGTGTAAGAGTTCTTGCCGACATTTGAGATTGTGATTCTATATAATTCAAAATTGGTAATATTAATGATGATATATAGAGATATTAAAAATGCATCAAAAAGTTCTTTCATCAAATAAATCCTATATAAAAAGTGAAAACAAAAAAATCTATAAAAGAATCTATGGAGTGACTTACCATGAACTAAATTATGCATTTTTGGATTCAAAGTGGCTGGTACAATAAGACGAAGAAACAGAAATGCACTGTAAACAAAATATTTACTTTTTGTCTTCCAAAGTTAAAAAGTTTTAAACAAAACAAAGAAAAATCAATTTTCACACTTTTTATCAAGTCAATATCGTTGAGTAATTTAAATCAATATTTAATTTTTGGTAACTCCAAATGTTTGGAATTATAAAATTTTGTCATTCATTAATATCATATTCAAAGTCCAAAAGATATATTTTAATAAAAGAATTTGCAGATGTTTAAAAAAGACAAAAAAATAAGATACATAAAATCTTCGATTGTTGCATCTTTATTTGATATTATATAAAAATTTTGTTTAAAAATCTAAATTATTATTTTATTTAGTTTTTATTAACTTTTAACTAACAGGCTTTTTCACTTTTTTTTTATTTGTAATTGTACTTATGTAAAGCAATTTAACATGTTAAACCATATTTTAAAAAGTTCTGCTTAATACCATTGAGTAACTTATTTTTAAAGTTTGATTTTTCAGTTTCTAAACATTTATTTTTATCATTACGAAAGCTATTTATAGCTTAAATATGTAAAGGCAAAAAGAATTTAAAGACATAAAAAATAGATATAAAGGTTCAGACAATTTTCATAATTGCTTTATAATCTTTAAATTTTCAATATATAATGAAAACAAAATATCTTATTATATATTGAAAATATAGTATATTTCATATTTATATCCTAATATATATATTGTAAATATACTTTTTTAATTACAGTCATTTTGCTTGCACATTGAAAAATAAATGCAACTTAAAATTCCACAGCGAAATGAAAAAGCAACTTAAAATAACATCCTATAGATAAAATTTCGGACAAATTTTAATTGCATTCATTATATAATTTATTTCATGCATGCTAAAAACATTTATACTTATTTGAAAGAGGATTTTATAATCTATTTAAATTTAATTTAATTAAGTTAAAAATATTATTAAAATGTTAAAAATAAAATGGTCAAAGTAAAGGACCTTGAAAAAATGATGGAAATTTTTTTCCGAAAAAATCGAGAAAAAGGTAAAGCATTTGTTGCTAAACAGTTTATAGAATGGGGTTTACCCAGATCAACTGCTTACGATAAAATCGTAAAACTGGAGAATAAATCTCTAAAAAGAAAAGTTGGAAGTGGTCGAATCACTAAGGTAGCTACTAAAGAAAATATTCCAAAGATTGCTGCATTTTTTGAAAATTAGTCAGGGTGCTCTCAAAAGAAAGTAGCTCAAGTTTTTAACTGTAGTCAAACTCCAATTTCCCAAGTATTAAAAACGATGACTAACATTTGAACTTTCAAAAAAACAAATCCTCCAGATCGTAGCCATCAGCAGTAGAAAGCTATGTGTCCTAAATGTTGTAAATTATAAAAACTTGGATTTTGTTATGGATGATGAAAGCTATTTTACCTTAAACAATAGCACATTAGCTAGTAATGATAGGTTTTATGCCGCTGATCCTTCTCAATGTTCTGACAAAGTAAGATACAAGTTGAGTAAAAAGTATGAGGACAAGCTCTTAGCTTCTTGTTGCATCAGCCCCTGTGGAATAAGCCCTCTTTATATTCATCACAGTAAGCAGGCAATCAACCAGTACACTTGTAAAGAGATACTAGAAAAAAACTTTTCTTCCTCTAGTATCAGAATATTATAAAAAACATAATGAGTTTATCTTCTGGCCTGAAGTAGGTAATCGACTTTTTAAAATTGAAAAAAAATCAAAGTTGTACCCAAAGATATAAACCCAGCTAAAGTTCCAGAAGCAAGACCAATTGAAAACTTTTGGGGTGATTTAAAATGGCTAGTGTACAAGAATAATTGAAGAGCTGAGAATTTGGAAGATATTGAAGCAAGAATTAGATGCTATTCAAAGATGAATAAAGAAAATTTCCTTACTCAAATAAACTCTTCACTCTATCACCTTTCTCTTTGTTCTTTATCGTTCTCCTTCTTCCCATGATTGCACTCTTTTAGATGTTATCTCTGATCAAATTGACCAGGCCCTCTCTCTTTACCCCTCTGCCAATATTGTTGTTGTTGGTGATTTTAATGCCCATCACACTGAATGGCTTGGCTCTAACACCACTGATCCTGCTGGCACTAAAGCCTTTAACTTCTGCGTTTCTCAATCTCTTACTCAGATAGTTAACTTTGTGACTTGTTTTCCTGACAACCCTAATCATTTACCTTGACATGTCTTGTCTCAGACCCTAGCTTATGTTCAGTTTCTCCCTTTTCTCCCTTAGGTGGTTCTGACAATGCAATGATCTCTATAAATCTTTCTTCTCGTACTTCTTTTTTGGACTCACCTTATCATCGCACCGCCTACTACTACCCTAAGGCTGACTGGGATTCTTTTCGTGATTTTCTTCATGATGGTCCTTGGGCTGATGTTTTTTCTCTCAGCTGATAAATGTGCCTCCTACGTAACCTCCTGGATTCAGACTGGAATGGAAGCTTTTATTCCTTTTCGTCAGTTTCAAGTCAAGCCTCATTCTACTCCATGGTTTTCTCCTTCTTGTGCGGCTGCTATATCCAATCGTAATCATTTTTTTCATCTTTTTCAAAAGAACAACTCTCTTGAGAACAAACGGCTATTTATTATTGCAAGAAATCAATGTAAAAAGGTGCTTTCTGATGCTAAACTCCATTATTCTCAGTTCACTAAATCTCGCATCTTATCGCAGAAGTTAGGCTCTAAAGACTTTTGCAAAATCTTCAACAGCATTATTAACAAGGGTAGATCTAACATTCCATCTCTCATTCATGGGACTGATCTTATTACCTCTCCCGAGGATAAGGCAGAACTATTTGCAAAGAACTTTTCTTCTAATTCCACTCTTAAATCTTATGGACATTCTCTTCCTTCTATTCCAGTCAAACAGGTTGACCCATTGTTAGCATTCACTCCGGCTTCTGTTGCTAAAGTTATATCTCAATTAAACTTGTCTACAGCTTGTGGTCCAGACAACATTCCTGTCACAGTCTTGCAGAATTGTTCTCCAGAACTTTCTTCAATTCTCTCTAAACTATTTAACAAGTGTTTGACTGAGTCTTGTTTTCCTGCTTGTTGGAAAATGGCATCTGTGGTTCCAATATTCAAAAACTCTGGAGAAAATTCTGACCCCTCCAACTATCGTCCGATCAGTCTTCTTTCTGTTATTAGCAAGGTCTTTGAGTTTTTGATTTTGATCAACAAATTCCTTACATCTCATCTTGAGTCAAATAAACAACTGTCAGACAATTAATATGGTTTTCGATCCTCTCGCTCTACGGCCGACTTGCTAACTGCTGTAGCTGAAAGATTTTATTGTGCATTGGATGGAGGCGGTGAAGCTGGGGCTATTGCTCTCAACATATCTAAAGCTTTCGACGAGGTTTGGCATGCTGGTCTTCTCCATAAGCTTGCTTCATGTGGTGTTTCTGGGAAAGTTTTTGGGATTATTGGATCATTTCTTTCTAATCGGTTTATTGGAGTCATCCTTGAAGGCCAACACTCTTCTTTATTTCCAGTAACTTCTAGGGTTCCCCAAAGTTCCATCCTGGGCCCTGTTTTGTTTCTTATCTACATAAACGATCTTCCTGACAACCTTTCATCTAGAAGTAGCTCTTTTTGCTGATGATTCAACTTTATACTCCTGTCTTGACAAAAAGTCTTCCCTTTTCGATCGCCTAGAACAAGCAGCTGATCTTGAATCCGATCTCACTTCAGTAATAGATTGGGGTTCACAGTGGCTTGTGAATTTCAACTCTAACAAAACCCAGTTGTTTACTGCACACAACTACCGTAATATGGTCAACATTCCTATATTAATGAATGGCAATCTTCTTACTGAGTCCTCCTCTTTACGTCTACTTGGATTATCGCTTACTACTGACCTTTCATGGAAACCATTTATACAATCGATTGCTAAATTAGCTTCTGCTAAGGTTGCTTCTCTTTATCGTGCTCGCCATTTCCTTACTTTTGATTCCATTCTCTACTTCTACAAATCTCTTATTTGTCCCTGTATGGAATACTGTTGTCATATTTGGGGTGGTTCTTCTAACGATTCACTTTCTCTTCTTGACATGGTCCAAAAACGCATTGTAAATGTTGTTGGACCTGGACTATCTGCTAAGCTTGAGCCTCTTTCCCATCGTTGTAAAGTTGCATCTCTTTCTCTTTTCTACAAATACTATCATGGTCACTGCTCAAAGGAGTTATCATCTCTAGTTCCATCAACTAAAATTCATTCTCGTTTTACTTGTCATTCAGCTAAATCTCATTCATTTACTGTATCTGTCCCTGCATGCTCTAAAAACTTTTATTCATCTAGTTTTTTTCCCCGCACTTCAATCCTTTGGAACTCTCTCCCATCTTCATGTTTTCCTGACTCATACAACCTTCAAATTTTCAAGTCTTCTGTCAACCGTTTTCTTGCTCAATAACTCTGTTCTTTTTTTTTCCTAGTAACTCCCAACTTAATAGTGGTTGCTTGCAGCCTTGTTGGGAGTGAATGCAAATAAAAAAAAAAACAAAAAAAAAAAACATCTTTCAAAAAAACTTTATAATATTGCTAAATATGGTATTTGAAATAATTATTTTAATATATTTATAAACTACATATACTAACATATTAACAGTTGAAATATTAAATAATAAAAACTTATTAATTCTTAAAATATTAATTTTTAAATTTTGTCCAAAATTTTATTTATGAGGTGTTATGTATATTAAATACTTTTTTTCCTTCAATCATCCTTACCTGTAGTTCAAGCATTGATATCAAGTTTTTATAATTCTGTAACAGCACAAAAACCTAAACAGAGCTCCTATAATGACCTCTCCAGACTCATGAATTCTCAATAAAACAGCCCATATAGGTTATTCTACAACTATTTTTTTAGACATTTTTCATTTTTCCATTATTTTTCCTCTTACTTTTCTAACTTTCACAGGGTAAAATGCTAAATCAAACACTTGAAACAAAATATTTTAAAATACTTATAATGTATGGAAGAAAGAAACACAGCTAATAGCTGATAGTAAAATACTCAACATAGCTCCTAAAGTAATTGACACAAACATGTGATGCAACACATACAACTATTGACAAGATAACTTCTTGTCAATAGTTGTATGTGTTGTATAATATAATTATTTCAAATACCATATTTAGCAATATTATAAAGTTTTTTTGAAAACTTTATATAGATAAAACGTATATAGATTTCATCATTTGAAATCTATATACTTGCTTTTTTATTACCTAAAATTTTCTACTTAAGAAATCATTCTAGAACATCTTCAAACACTTTATTTTCATTTTCTTTTCAACTTTTCCCCTACACCTGATTTTCTTTTCATTTGAACCTTTTTCAAATACAAATTACAGTCAAGTTTTTTCCATATACTTAACAATAATTATTTAAACAATACTCATTAAATAAGAAAATTTTACACTTGCAACATGTTATATCTAATGCTCAAAAGATTTCCTATGTTCTCTAATTCCTTTTTTTTTTTTTCCAATATCTACATTTCTAACAAGGCTGCAAGCAATCACTATTAGAGTTGGAAGATACTGGAAGAGAAAAGATTATAAGAAGTTTATAGAGCAAGATAACGATAAACAGACAACATAAAAAATTGCAAATTATATGAAGCAGGAAAACAAAATGAAGGGAGCGAATTCCAAAGAACTGATGTTTGAGGAAAAATACTAGATAAATAAGGATTTTTGAAGCACTTAGGAACAGTTACAGTAAAAGGATAAGACTTAATTGAATGACGAGTAACACAAGAATGAATTATAGTAGATGACACAAAAGACACCAGCTCTTCAAAGAAGTGCCCATTAAAATATTTATAGAAAAGAGAAAGAGAAGCAACATTACAACAATGTGATAATGGTTGGAGGTTGACTGGAAGAACAGGTCCAACTACGTTTACAATGTATTTTTGCACGTTGTTTAAAAGAGAAAAGGCATCATTGGAAGATACGCCCCAGATTTGGCAACAGTATTCCATACTAGGATAAATTTGATCTGTCTGAATTTATAAAGATAAAGAATAGAATCCTGAGTAAGAAAGAGGCCAGCACAATAAAGAGATATTCTTATATCTCTGATACGTTACAGGATAAATCAATTTTTTTTAACCATAATGGGGCAAATAAAAATGCATTGTATCATTAAAGAACAATCATAGCTATTATTTGCTATTATTATTACAACCACTTTTGCTTTTATAAAGAGTATTTCAGTGATTTCACTGAAATACTCTTTATAAAAGCAAAAGTGGTTGATATATGTAGTAAAATAAAAAAATTTAGAACTTTGTCAATAAAGAATTAACTTTGAGTTTCTATTTTTTGCGAAATATTTAAACCAAATCCAAATTCTTTTTCCGGCCTAAAATTTTTATTGAAACTATAGATCTTTAGAGGAGATTTACTAAGAAAAATACTAAAATACTAAATTACTTTATAAGAGCAAAATTAGTTGATACTGCATCAGTATTAACTATATCCGAATTCCTTTTCCTGGTCTGAAACCAAAATGCATGTTTTTAAGAATATTTAGTTTATTGAAAATGATTCTTATTTTAAAATCTTTATTACCTGATAAAGCAACTTAACTTCTTATTTTGTTCTGCATTTCAGTTCTTAATAAGTTTTCCTTTCTTTACAAGTCTTTACTTTTAAACTCTAATTTTATAATTAAGTTTAGTTAATTTTACATTTTCAATAATGAAAGCCAAGTTTAGTTGTACATTTTCAATATCGAAAACCAAGTTTAGTTAACTTTACATTTTCAATAAATGAAAGCCAAGTTTAGCTGTATATTTTCAATATCGAAAGCCAAGCTTAGTTAATTTTACATTTTTAATAATAAAAGGTAAATTAAGTTAATTTTATATTTTTAATAATGAAAGTCAAGTTTAGTTAATTTTACAAGCTATTATATTAAAACACATAAGAAGACTTCAGTGCATTAATTAACTGTAACAGTTACATACCTGCATTACCTTAACTACTGTTACCCATCAAGTGCAAAAAGACTAAAAATTACTAACCTGACAACTCGCGTACCAATGTTTGACTCATTTGGCCAGTTTTTTTTTGCAGCAGTTTGTAAGCAATAAAACAAGTAGCGTAACTGTCTATAAAAGAATAATATTTTAAATAATTACTGTATACCTTATTGAATTAATCTCATGCTACAACCTCACAAAGACTTACTCCTAATATATAATTGACACAAGATAATGAAAAAGTAATAAAAACTTGGTAAATAAACAATCAATAAAATCAAATTAAAATAAGCTGTCATTTTAATTAAATACATAAGCTATTTTATTGGTATTTATTTAGAAATTTTTTATCAAGTGAGGGGTTTTCCCATTTATTGTAGAGCCTTCTTTTACCTTTAATTTATATTTGGTTGGAGCAGTATTCGAAATCTCAAAAGAATTACAATTAGAGGGATTTTTACAATTAGTTGATGTACTTAAATGTACATAAGATTTTTTTATTAGTTATATGGTGCTCATTTATCCTAGTTGTTTAATGACTGTTTCTCCAATATAACTGGCATTACACCCAGCACAAGAAAAAATGTAAACAACATTAGATTAAAGTAGCTAAGGAAAAAGTTCTTTTAAACTTTTTCAAAATTGAAAAAAAATCTCATATATATAAACACTTAACAACATTCTTTAATTGTAAAAACTTGTCTAATTTCAATTATTTTGAGATTTTGGATACTGCTCTAACCAAACATAAATCAAAGATGAAAGAAGCATTCCACAACTTATTATTATATCATTAACCATAGGTCCAGGTCATATTAAAACCAGATTTTTAAACCTGGATAACCATAGGTTATCCAGGTTTTAAAAATCTGGAAAACTGTTTGGATAAAATATACGGAAAAAATCTGAAATATGTTTATCCTTAATTTCCTTTTAATTTGCTTTTAGCTGACTAGTTTTTTAACTTTTTTTTCAAACTTTTCATATTTTTTCTATTAAAAATATTACAAAATAAAATAAAATAAAAGTAATTCTTAGACTAATTAACAAAAATATATACTTAAACTTGTATGTATAGAAAATGTATAATAATACAAATAATAATACAAATAAATGTATTAAAATATAAATAATATAAATGTATAAAAATGTAAAAAAAACTTGTATGTATAGAAAATGTTTTGGATATCGGGAAAAACTAAAAGGTGAAAAAAAAAAGTGCATACAACATTATGTCCAGATAATGTTGTATACCTCTAAATGGAGTGTTATATTCTTCACAGCTACTATTCATATTACACTGATTCGGAGATAATGTTATACACCCCTAAATTGAAGATTTTAATACAAAACTTTTGTATTAATTATGTCATTTTGGAGAAAAATGGAGATAATGTACCTATACCTCTGAGGTACAGATATACACATATATATAATTGAAACTAGAGATTGTAAAACTTTCAATACAAAACTTTTTTGTCAATTTTGTAAACAGAAGGAATAAAAAATTAAAAAAAAATTAGAGGCTTAGTAGTATTAGAGATAATTAATGTCATACATTAGTTTGTTCTGACTGGTTATTTGGTCTTGCAATATTTACAACCGCTTTCAAATTAAATTTTTTCAAATAAAAAACCACAGAAAAGATATAAATGCTCATAGCGTTCACTGTCTTTCTCTCCTCCTGTTGACACTTTCTTTTTTTTTTTACTTTCAAAGTAAGTCTCATTACTTATTTAGACATCTATCCTCTTGTACTCTACTTGAACTTGCAAAAAATTATTATTATTTATTAGCTAAATTAATCAATTAAATTACAATTTTAAATTAATTAAAATACAATTTTAATACAAATTAAATTTTTATCATTTTTTTCAATCTACCGAATCAGCATTTTTTAATACCCTACCGAACCCTACCGCTTTAATTTTAATTTTCCACTATTTGTACAGTGTATAATATATACAGCAGTGTACAATATACACATCAATATGTACAGTGTATAATATAAATAGCAAAACCCAACAACTAATAGTAACAGCATTTTATAAACAAACTAAAAATTATTTTTAATTTTTGAGATAAAACTTACTTAGGACAACTGCTAGCTGAACTAAATATATTGCTCGTAATTTCTTCTAAAAACTTTATTAGTTGTTGAAGATTTTCGGCAACATTTGAACCCTTCTCAACTTGTGATGGATTTAACTACAATAAAAATATATTATAAAAAAAAAATTAACTACAAAATAATAAAGTATAAAAAAGTATAAAAATTTACAATAAAATATAGTATCCAGAAAAATAATTTACCTTTCAAAAAAAAAAAGAAAAATGTGTAAAAGAAAACCAAAGATACTAATCATAGAATTAAAGATAAAAGAATAAAAGTAAAAGATATAAAAAGAAAGAAAAAGTTACCTCGCAACATTGCTTGCTTACCTCGCAACATTGCTTGCTTTCCATAATTTTGAGAATAACAGACTTTATTGTTTGCTGAAGATAAGGTGTTGCTATCATTTTCATATATTGATCCATCAGTTTGGTGGTTAATGTGTTGCCTCGAAATAAAGTTTCCTTTTTTTCTAAACATTTGACGCATGTTCATTTATAAGAATCAGAGGTTAAAATATACAAAAACAAAAAGTTGCTACAAAAGACATGCATGCCTAGTTGATTCATTTCTTTGGTTGCAATTGTTTGAATAAGATTAATCTCACTGTTATCTTGCCTGAAAATGCGAAGAAGGGTATATGCAAGACTATTAAGGTCTTTGCATACTTCACCAAGAGACTGAACAATTTGATAATCTTTGTTTAACAAAACCTAAATAATAAAAAAATTTTTTAGATGAATGATGACATGAAAATATTATACTAGGGCATGCCACTGGTTGTACCAGTTTTAGTACAACCAGTAGTACAGGTATTTGCTTGTATAATAACATTTGGCATTACTGGTATTTGTTCTTTGAATACCAGCATTAGTACTGTAATTTTTTTAAAAATATGAAAAAATTGCTTTTTCACTTTTAGTATATATGTTTATAAACTAATTAATTTATTATCCTAAATAAACTAATTTTAATAACCTTAAAACTTTAACTATTTATGCCTCTTAATAAGGACTTATTTATCTAAAAACGCATCAAATTTAAATATTTAAAGTGTCCCTTTAAATATTATTATTTATTTTTTTTTTTTTAATTCACCTCCTCAAGGTCAAGAAGGCCACTACAGACGAGGAGGCTACTTATTTGTGGTTTTAACTTCTCTCAACTCTATAACTCTGAAACACGAACCTTGACGAACAAGGCCACTGCACGGAGAAACGAGTTGAGCGTGGTACTACCAGGGACGTGGTGGGGATCGAACTCGGAACCACTTATTTATGAAGCGAGCGCTCTACCACTACACCACTACCGCATTTACTCAAAATATACTCAAAATATACCCAAAATATACCAATAATGTAACAAATTTCTAATAAAAGAATCATGTAATGATTCTTATATTAGATATATAAATATATATATATATATATATATATATATATATATATATATATATATATATATATATGATATATATATATATATAATATATATATATATATATAATATATATATATATATATATATATATATATATATATATATATATATATATATATATATATATATATATATATATATATATATATATATATATATATATATATATATATATATATATATATATATATATATATGTATGTATATATCAGAGGCTATTCTAGACCATTTTCGACAGCGCTAACAGTAAACAAATATTGTTTTGTTTTTTTGCAAAAAAAACTCTGATATTTTGCTAAATTTCTCTGAGATGGAGGGGTGCTGCTGCCCAAATTTTTTTCCTAGAATAGTATATAATATATGGATGGTTAAGCGCCAAACCTGCCTATACAACAAAGTTGAAAAAAATTAGTTTATGTTAAAAAAAGATTTATGTAGTGTTATTTTGCTAACACCAATATACTATGATTAAAATTTTTAAGTGCACTCAACTGCAAATATTTTTAACTTTTTCGGTTTAGCGGGATATGTTAAAGATTTTTAAACTTTGCTTCTAAATTACTTGTTTCAACATACTTGTTGTATAGGCAGGTTTGGCGCTTAACCATCCATATGTTTATAAATTAATTAATGTATTATCCTAAACAAACTAATTTTAATAATCTTAAAACTTTAATTATTTGTACCTGTAAATATGGACTTATTTAGCTGAAAACGCATCAAAATTTAAATATTTAAAATGTCCCTTTAAATATTTACCAAAAATATACCCAAAATATACCAATTAAATTTAAAATACCCTGTGTGTATATATATATATATATATATATATATATATATATATATATATATATATATATATATATGTATATATATATATATATATGTATATATATATATATGTATATATATATATATGTATATATATATATATATATATATATATATTTATATATATATATATATATATATATATATATATATATATATATATATATATATATATATATATATATATATATATATATACATACAAAATAGAGTACTCAACGTTCTTAAAAAAATAGAGCAATATTAAACAAGCAGAAAATCCCTTATCAAACTTTTTTGATTTTAAACTTTGTTTCATCTATAAAGACTCATAAAAAATCTATTTTTGATGAGTCTTTATAGACACAGTGTAAAATGAAAAAAAATTTGATATGTGATTTTCTACTTGGGAAAATCACTTACTATGTTGGGAAAAAACAAAACAAGCTGGAAAGAAACAAAAGTGTATCATGTTGAAAAATTATATAAAGCTTTTAAAAATGAGAACTATATTGCATAAAAATAAATATGTTAGATTTAACAGCATAAAAAATGAAGTTTATTAACCAAAATATAAAAAAGTTTTTTTTACTAATTTTTTTGACAATATTTTTTTTTAACAAGTTTTTTTAATAACTATCATTTTTAAATTTTTATTTTATGAGTTTGCTTCATTTGAAAGTCAACATGATACATTTTTGAAGAACCTTTTTTTTTGATAATATTAGGAACTCATTAAATATTCAAAGGTTTAGAGGGACCCCTAAAAACATTTTTTCTTCAAAAAAATTTTTAATTCAGTGTTTTTTTTATCATATTTAGAACACATTAGGGGGGTTGCAGCTTTTTTTTTTTCAAAAATATTGTTTTTTGGGACACTCTAATATATATATATATATATATATGTATATATATATATATATATATATATATATATATATATATATATATATATATATATATATATATATATATATATATATAGTATATATATATATATATATATATATATATATATATATATATATATATATATATATATATATATATATATATATATATATATATATATATATATATATATATATATATATATATATATATATATAGTGATGTATACTGGACTTTTAGATGTTGGAGTTTTGACACTTACAGGTATTGTGCTAAGTCCAAACATTTGTATGTTCATACTTATGTCAAATGAGAATGTTTTGCAAAAAGTTGTGGTGATTAGAGCTTGGGGACAAAAAACCCCCAATTTTTGGGCCCACCCAGCCCTTAACGTGGGAGCAACAAGTTGATAAAATAGTTTTTTTAGTATTTTTATCTAAGTTTATATTCATCAACAAATTTCAAATTTCATCCAATAATTTCACATTTTTCGAAAATTATGACCATATAAAGTTTTAACCCCCCCAAAAAAAATTTACAGCCCCCCAATTTGAGGGGGCTGTAAATTTTGTAGGGTCATAAAAACTAAAAACTAAGAGGTTATTGCATGAAATTTGAAATTCGTTAATGAATATAAACTTAGATAAAAGTACTAAAGAAATTATTTTGTCAACTTGTTGCTCCCACGTTAAGGGCTGGGTGGGCCTGAAAAATGGGGGTTTTTTGTCCCCAAGCTCCAATCACCACAACTTTTTGCAAAACATTCTCATTTGACATAAGTATCAACATACAAAAGTTTGGAATTTGCAAAATACATGTAAATGTCAAAACTCAAACATCTAAAAATCCAGTGTACACCACTGATATATATATATATATATATATATATATATATATATATATATATATATATATATATATATATATATATATATATATATATATATATATATATATATATATATATATATATATATATATACACACTTACAAAAGCGTGTTTTGGTAAGCATTTGCTTACTTTTTCTGCTTACCTTAAGCTATACTGTTTTTTTCGAAAAAGAAGCACTCCACTGCGAGTCAGGCTATTTGTCAGTCGACGTATGTACTGAAGCCCCCAGCAGCATATATATATATATATATATATATATATATATATATATATATATATATATATATATATATATATATATATATATATATATATATATATATATATATATATATATATATGTATATATATATATATATATATATATAAAAACTGTAAGCAATAATACATATAATGGATATTTGTTTACAATTAAAAACAAATAGATTAAGATAATTTTGTTAAAAAAAACATACTTTGTGAAGGCTTTCATAATCTTCTACTTGCATAATAATTTCATGCTGTTTAAAATTGTTATAAATATTAATTTGACTGCATTTACAAATATTTATAATAGAAAAATTATTGGTATTTACAACATAATAGTAATTAATAAACTTTAAATGTAAAAAAAATATTGTAAAAACAAAACAAAAAAAAAACAGTAAAATTTTAAATATTTTTATTAGAAAAAAAATTTTTACCACAAATTTTCCTGTAATGCGAATGCTTCCCATGTCAGATTTGTGGTTCTGTGAACTCAATACAAACCACTGATCTAATGTTCTGCCATTCTCTATTGTGTTTAAATATACAGTAGCCTTACCTGAAACATAAATATATCAACCAAAACTCCTTATATAAACAAAATACTTTAACTTTTAGAACTTGATTGTTAACCCCAAAATTTTTATTTTGGTATCTGTTGTGGGGTTGCATTTTGCTGTAGGGGTTGCTACACCTGACATTAGAATAATAGGGTTCGATCTCCATTTTGTAATGTTGAGAGAATTAAACTTATGGCTTTTAATTATTTAATTGTTTTACAGCTGTTGTTGTTTTTATTGATAAAACATGCTTTTTATGTTATTTATGTTTTATTACTAATCTTATATCAATAATTTTTTAATTTTTCAAAACTGTTTGTTTATAAACAAATTTTAAATTCCAACTCTTTTAAACAAGGTTAAAACTAACAATGAAAAATTAAAAATAAATATTTTTAAATATTATATAAATAATAATAATTGATATATATCAAAATTCAAAATTATATAATTTTAATAAATATTAAAATTAAATAATCTTGAAGATAAAAATGATAAAAAAAAAAAATTCAATTTTCTCAACTTGAAAATTGGCAGATAGAACCTTATAATTCTCATTTACATTAACAAACTATTTTTTTTCAAACCAATATATATTATTTAATAAATAATAAATATATATTACTTAATAAATAATAAATATATATTACTTAATAAATAATAAATATATATATTACTCAATAAATAATAAATATATATTACTTAATAAATAATAAATATATATTACTTAATAAATAATAAATATATATTACTTAATAAATAATAAATATATATTACTTAATAAATAATAAATATATATTACTTAATAAATAATAAATATATATTACTTAATAAATAATAAATATTATGTGATTGCTTGAATCAAATTATTTTGATCTTTAAATTTAACAAATTAGATATTTTGATCTTTAAATTTTACAAATTTAACAAATGGTCACTTTTAATTTTAAAAATTTAAGAGAATATAACAAGTTTTGTTAAATTCTCTCAACATAAAAAGGAGATAGAACCCTTCTACCATCTATATTCATCATAAAAGCAAAGAAAAATTATTATTCATCACACGAGCAAAAAAAAAAAAAAAAAAAATTTTGGGAAAAAAATAACTCTAAATTAAATTTTTGTGCTTTAGAATAGCTTACCCATTTCTTTATCTTTATATGGTCCAGTTTTACTGTTATACATGTGTATTGTAAATGAAGTAATGTCTTCTGGTAAGTCGCTAATAAATAAAAATTTTGAAAATTAACTAAATAAAGTTATATTATAAGTGAACAGAAGACCATCTGCAAATCATCAAAATAAAAAAAATAAACAAATAAAAAATTAGAAACAAACTCAAAAGTAAAAGATTCATTGTAAACTGGTTCAGGTGCTTCTTGTGATTTTGTTCTGCAAGTTTTAACATCATTTAGTGAAATAATACAATAAGGATGTGGAAGCTTGTTGACAGGTATTTTTTGACCATGACAGACAGTCAGCTGCAGACTACGTAATTCTTTCACAGCTTTGGAACTTTGTTTGTTGTTTTTCATGGTTCCACAGTAAAGTGTGATGCAATCCCACCATTCCTAGTTAATTTTATGGAGATTTATATTTAAAAAAATCAGTCGTAAAATAAAAAATATATATTAAATATGTAGAAAAATTTAGTGGTAAATCACTTATTACTTTACCTAAAAGCAAAACCAAAACATTTAATTAAATCCAAAAAACAAAACAAAATTAAAACATCTAAACAAAACCAAAATATTTAAACAAAACCAAAACATCCAATTAAAACCAAATTAGCTCATTTATGTTGTTCAACATTTATTATGTATAAATAAATATCCCATTATTTTCATTATTAAAGCATAAATTGATTAACTACTATCTTGAAAAAATCAAAACTTCCTAGAATATTTTAAATCTATTTGAATTATTTATTGTTGAATAAAGTCTTTACCAACAGATCTTATGTGTTTTATAGTAAAAATTTTTGCACCTAAAGAGGAGTGTTGGAAACAAAGATTTGGGAACTTCTCTGAGTATTGTGGAAGAATCACTCCTGAGAAATTCTCTATCGTTTTTTTAATTAAGAGATTTTATGAAGATGAATAAAGTTTATTAAAAAAAACAAAAACAATATCACAGTATACGGTAATAAGGTTCGTATAGCTTAGGTAGGTATACGAATCAGTGGTTGTCACTAAATTAAAAAATAAAAACTGCACTGAATACTCTCAAATAATCAAACTTTACACTGATTTAGTCACATATCCTTTTCCCAGAACAAATCATATAATAAATATGAAAAAACTTTGATTTAAAAAATGCTTACTGCAAAATTTCTACTAAAAAATCATTCAAAAAGTGTTCAGCATTATGTCAAATGCTGAACACTTGTTGATCTGTTGTTAATGATCTACTTTCCAAGAACTATGGATAAATATGAGGAAATTTTTAAAATTGCCTACATTTTTAAAAAGCCTCACAAGGTTAAAGCCTAACAATAAACAAACCAAATTCTATTATTTCTGTTTCAATAAATATTCTTGGTTATTGAGTCAAATTATCATCTTTTTCTTCTTATATTTTATCACTTTATTTTATTAAAAGTTTGTTAACCTACTCAAAGTTGATATGTTCTTTTGCTAATAAAGTTGAGCCATTTAATGTTAAATTTCCAATTAGTATTGAAGTATTTAAAGCATTTCAAATACTTAAAAAGGAATTTCTGAAACTTTGAGTTATATTAATAAGAACCCATTATTTTTGTCATACTTCAAATGAAATCTTATTAATTACCTCAAATTAAAAATGATCCCTTGCTTGCTTTTATGTCTAGGACATAAAACAAAAGTTAAACCTCAACGGTAGAATAAGAATCAGTAGTTATTATTGAAATTGATTTAAAATGTCATGCTTTATTTTGTTAAATCTAAAAATTTAGCATCTTCTACAGAAAAGCTAGTATGTGAATCAAATGGATTGTCTAAGTAAAAACTTTAAAGAGCCAATGCCATCTAATTTTAGTTTTAAAAAAACCTATTTAAAATTATTGATAAATATTTTAGGTATCCATTTGCTATCCAGGTCAAACCTTTTAATGGTTGTTGACTTGATGTCCAGGCATCAAGTCAACAACCATTGAAAGGTTTGGCTCAAATATTCTCTTTTTTTAGTTTTCCAAATTATTTTTATTCTGACAAAGGCTCTTTACTCATTCCAAATGAATTAAAATCTTACTATACTAAGAAAAAGAATTATGATAAGTACTTTATCTCTGATGATATCAACCTAGATAAGTACTTTATCTCTGATGATATCAACCTAGATAAATACTTTATCTCTGATGATATCAACCTAGATAAGTACTTTATCTCTGATGATATCAACCTAGATAAGTACTTTATCTCTGATGATATCAACCTATAGAGATCAACCTAGTAATGGACAAGTTGAGAGATATAATGATTTAATCTGAAGAAATATTTCCTTTTTACTTTGCCTTTTTTTTTTTACAAGCCACAACCTAGTTTGAAATTGTTCTATCCAATGCTCTTTATTCAATGAATGATTTGTTTTTAAATAAACAAGCCATCTGGTGACATTTTACAACATTCTACAAGAACTTGCAAAGTTAAATATGTTTTCAATATAACTTTAAGTCAGTGCATTATTATTGAACTAAGTCTTTATCAAGCATTTTTTTTTTAATGAGTTAGTCACAAGTTAGTATCAGTTGCAATAGTTAAAAATTGCCATGGTAATAAGAATAAAATTCTTTACCTGCTTTATAAAACATTATTAAATGATCAACATCAATCACAAAACGTGTTAACACCCATAATTATTTATAACTAATAATGTTCTCCTTTTCCTATTTATCTCCTCTATATTTATTTCTACAAAAAAATAAAGATTTAGGTACAAAGTTTAGGTAAAAGTTTAGATAAAAGTACAAATTTTAGGTAATTTAAAGGTACTTTAAAGGTACAAATTTTAGGTAATTTAAAGGCAAAAGTACAAATTTTTACCAATATATACTTGTACTTTACAATGACAATGGAAATTTAAAAATTCTTATAATGTTATTCAAATTGCAAAAAAGACAACCTGGCTGGAGTCACTTGTTTCTGCACATAAAAAATGTGTTTGTGTTTCATTCAATGCACGCACAACAATTTGAAAACAATTTGGCCTGAAAAAAAAAGTTATTACACATTAGCAATGTATCAAAGCCAATTGTGATACCCCCAAATTTCTGCCCAAACTTAATTTAAAACAATTTTATATTAGTTTGTTATAAAAAAAAACAAATTAAAAAATTCTTTATTACTTATTTTCTTGCTGTTTTGTAATGATAAAACTTGTTATAATATACAAAAAAATTGTTATAAATGTCGTTTAGAAAAAGCAAGCCACTTTTAAAATATAATATAAATGTATCTTAAGTCAATCAGAATTTTTAATTAAAACTTACGTGGATGAATTATAGAATAAATTATAATTGGATTAAGATATGAAATGCAGCTTTTGATTGGATTAAAGTTTAAAACTCTCAGCATTTTATATTTTTATAACTCCTTTAGTAAAAACATTAACTTGTTTTAAAATACACTTAATATGAATACTAATATTAAAAATTTTATTATAATAATAAAAATATACTAAAAAAATTTGACTTATTTTTTATAAAAGAGAAGAATATCAAAAAAAAGTTATTTACTTTTGAATAAAGTAATGACATTTATATACAATAAATATGCTACATAATAAATCTTTTTAGTCTATATAGACAGCATATTTATTACTTCTCCCTTTTATAGTGGGTATTCACGAGAGAAGCGTTATAACTATAACATTTAATAAACAATATATATATATATATATATATATATATATATATATATATATATATATATATATATATATATATATTAACAATTTATATATAATATTCATAAAATATTTACATATTAATATACAAACAATATAGTTATTTTTCTTTTAAATAGCAATTTAAAAGAAACATAAGTATATTTTTTATATATTTATATGTAATATTATATATTTATATGTAAATATAAAAATATTATATATAAACTATTAATATATATTGTTTATTAAATGTTGTGGTTATAATGGTTCTCTCGCCGGTGCCCCCAATAAAAGGAAGAAGCAACAAGAATATAAAGTTGATTTTATTCTTCATATTAGCGAATATTAAATGAAAGCTAGTGAACTGTCAATGTAACATTAATTATTTTGATTATTCATACTTTCATTTCAAAAAAAGTAATTTAATTCAATTTAGGCAATTGCTAGATTTTAGAGGAGGTATATTATATATATATATTTTTAATTTTGTCCTCTATTAAAAAAAAAAAATCCTCCAAACGAAGACAAGATATTTAGACCAGTATGCCAAAAAAATTTCGATATACGCTACAGCACAGTTATAATTATGAAAAACTGAAAATATAATCAAAACTGAAATTATTATCAGTGCATTTATATGAATTAATTTTCCATAAGTTCTTAATACAAGATTTGAAAAAAGAGAGCCTATACTCCATTTATTCTAGTATTATTCCATTTGTATGGAATAATACTGGGCAAATTGATAATAAAATAGAGCAGTTCTGATATATACATAGTGCAATTCGAAAACCAAAAAGTTGAATAAGTTCATACTTAACATGGTTTAACATATTGCCATAACAAATCTATAAGTGGTATTGCAGTACATTTAAGTAAAGTAACCTACTTAAGTAAATATTTTAAAATAACCACTGAAAGCATTTACTCTTAATTGATCCAAAAGACTAATAGGATAAATATAGAGTTATGTAAAACATGTTTAAGTATAGAGTTTAAAGGAAAAAAAATACTTGTATAAGAAATGTTGTATACACAATGTCATTAAAACATTGTATATATATATGTACATATATCAGCACTTGGAATTAGGGTAGGCATTCAGTAATGCCGACCTTACTGTCGTCCTAAAAGTGTTTGAGAATGGCAAAAAATTGCTGAACTTGTTTCTATGTTTTATGGTACGATCTTTGTATCAAATTTTTTTTGCCAACCTGATGCCGACTTCTAAAAGATTGAGCTTGGGAAATTATTGCTAACCTCAATCTTACAATTATTGCTGACACAATTTTTCCTAATTCCGAGGGTTGATATATATATATATATATATATATATATATATATATATATATATATATATATATATATATATATATATATATATATATATATATATATATATATATATATATATAATAAATATATTTATTCATTACCATTGAAAAAAAACAGTAAATGCAATTCAATAATATAATAGATAATAATGTGTTTGCAATTATTAAAAATAAAGTAAAAATACCATTGCAATTAATAAATAAAATTTAAACTAAACAAGTTAAGGTTTTTCAAAAGTCAAAAAAAAAATTACCTTCCAAATAAACTTTCATGAACAGTATAAACAGATGCATAAGTCAAATCAAACAAACCTTTTGGTTTTGTTCTCTTAGAAAGAAAATGCAAAATTATTAGCAAACAAAAATAAATACATATATATATATATATATATATATATATATATATATATATATATATATATATATATATATATATATATATATATATATATATATATATATATATATATATATACATATATATATATATATATATATATATATATATATATACATATATATATATATATATATATATATATATATATATATATATATATATATATATATATATATGTATATATATATATATATATATATATATATATATATATATATATATATATAAGTTAAAAAGTTTTGTTATGGTCACATGATATCACCTGCAAATTTTTATAAAATTTGGATAATATTATAGGTCCAGCAACATCCTTGAAATTATTAATTGTTAGCGTAAATAGAGTACAATGGGTTGATTTTCATGAAAGGTTTATGAAGGTGCTATTCAACTTATCTTGCTGCTACAAGTTTAGTATCATTAAAAAGATCTCGATATGTAGATTCTACACATATAATATTTACTTGCATCAGGTGGTAGGATTCAAAACAGTGATTTAGAGAAAATCCTAAAAAATGTGTAATAAGTAATACTCAGTTACAGAACTTTTTCCACATATTTACAATGCTACTTGCTTTTTGAACAACATAAATGTCTACATATTTATAAGATCGTCACACCTGCAGTGTTTAAAGTCATTTCTGTGTTTTTCAACTATTTGTAGCAGATACTGATTTTGTTCCTAATTCTTGGTAACTGATTCATTGAATGTCTGGATAAGTGCTACTCTGCGCTCTGCACAATCATCGACACACACTAACTACTTTACAACTAAATTTTGCATTCTCAAATACAACATTCGGCTAGGTTTCTACATCCTTTTCAATGAACTTGTCATCAATACCAGCAGTTTGAAATAAGCTGCAAGGCATTGATAGTTCTAATAAGCTGCTTAGCAATGATGTGAGTAAATGCTAGCAACGAACTTTTTTTATTTTCAGAACATGGTGTGCTTTCTCAAGTGGAGACAGACTTCCAAAAAGAGAGCAAGTATTGCCATCTCCAGGCCCAGATACCAGGAATGATGCTTCATCGTCTTCAGCCCAACTGTCTGCAAAACAACATCACCATATTCATTCAGTCGTTGTATAGCAAAATGTCATTGATTGGCGCATCAATAGCAATTCTGCTGGAGAACTATGATTAGAGATATACACAGACAATGAATCTCTTAAATTGCTGGTTGCCCTGGAGTTCTTGCGCTGTTAGCTTGAGAACATCTTCATTACCGTCAAATAGAAGTTCCATCTTAAGAGAGTAGATGGCCTTTGCCATCTCAGTACAGTGTCCCAAGCTTTTGGATTGTGGTGTTGGTCTGCATACCAAGCACTGCACCAGCAAGGCAAAAAAGCTCAAAATAGTCATGTCTTGGATGACTTTCAAGATTTAACTGTCTTTCAAGGTCTTTAGGTCATCATGATTATTAATCAAAGGAGCTTGACGATCTATTGGAATGTGATGAATTGTAGACCACTTATTAACAAATTTCTTGAAGATGAGTGTATCAGGCCCGGTTGATGGTCCAAAACACACACTAAATGCATCTGAGAGTAGGACCTCAAGCATGTGGTATCTGCATGCCAACCATAGCAGATTATGTCCAACAGCAATCTCCAACAGCTCCTTTGTATTTTTTCCTGTATTAGATGCAGTTGTGCCAAAGTACATACTGATAATAAGATTTTCACATTTCTATGACACCAACAATTCACAAACTGTGTCTGCTGCAGTCTGACCAGAGCCATATGTCAATTTTGGCACTCCTAGGAGCTTGATACTGCCATCAACAAGAGACGAAATCAAAATAAGCAAGCAATCCACCTGATTAGTGATTTCACCAGTTAAATCATACATCAACCTCCCATCCCAGAGTCTAAGCAGTACAGCTCCTGCTTGGCATTGTAACTACAAATTTGTCATTGTCATCTTCCGACAAACTGTTTTCACTGTCTAACAATGCTGCAAAATCCATCTTCTGACTTAATGTGGCTGCTGCTGCCGTTGATGTAACTTGCTTGATAAACTGTTCCTGATGTTCTGCAGAACGCTTCTCTTGACCCAAGAGCTATCTGTCAACTGGTCCAATACAACCTTATTGCAATTTCAAAAAGATTTCAAAATTGCAATAAGGTTGATCTTCCTCATTACTGATTAGCTGAGCTGCATTCGCTTCCTCATTACTGATTCGTATTCGCATCTTCCTCATTACTGATTAGCTGAGCTGCATTCGCATGGCTGATATCAAACAGGTTATCAAGTTTTCAAGTAATCAGTGTACTGTTTTTGATTCTGTTTATCTTTCTTATTACTCCTGGCCCAAGAGCTCATCAAACGTTGTTGCTCACTATAAAGATCTTTGATTTTCTGAATGATGTGCTGGTTCTGATGAGCGGGTAGCCGCGACTATGTCCAGAATAGCATTAATTGGTCATGCACTTGGCGTGCACTGTCTGCAACAGGCAACTTCTTTACACAGTGAAAAAAAATAAAATTCTGCATAACATCCTGTCCAGCTGGAAGACGTTGCCCTGTGATTGTCTCAGAAAGATGCCCTATCCACCAAATATTGTCCTTGCTTTGTGTCACTCTTTGTGTCAAAAAAATTAAATTTGAAGACTTTTTTTTTTACACTTACTACAGCAAATATTTTTTTTTTTTGCGAAAAAAATGCTAACTTTCATATTATATATATATTCTTTTTTTTATTTAAATTAATTTAGAAGACCTGAAAAAAATTAAAAAGTTCAAAAACTTTTTTAAAATTTCTTTGACAGATTTCCTGCCCAAACAAAAATTCTCAGTCAATGAAACAGCTCACATGTCAGTCATTATAGCAGCACTTTCTATTCATTTGTCATTCAATGCAGCAGAGCATCTCACATGTTCTAACTAATTATCAGTTGATTTAGTAGCACTTATATGTTCTACGTATTTCTCTGTAAACGTAGCAGCACTCCTTGCATGTTCTACCTATTTATCAGTTGATATAACAACACTTCTCGCATGATATACTTATCTATTGATGTATGTAAATGAAAAATGTTGTTTTTTAATTAAAAAAATAAAAAATATTACAGTTTATCAAGTTGCATTTTTGTGGTTTTTTAATAAACTATAAAACAAAACACAATAAACAAATTATAAAAAGAAATGTAGCATGAAATATACTTTTTCATTTTCAAAATAGAGCAGTTGCTGTTCTTCCCCCTTAAGTACCATATGAAGACGCTTCCATTTGTTGCGACTGCCTAAATATATTAATGAAAAAATTATTTCAAAGATGTTATTAAGCAAATATATTTAAGATAAAAATATTGCATATTAAAACTTCTTTTTAAACATATGTTAATATAGGTTTCTAATATTTATAATTTTACAATGTTTCTAGCCAGTAAATTTATAGAGGTGGAGAATGATTCAGGAGAGAAAATGGCGAACATGATAAAGAAAAGCAGATGCTAATTTACCAATCGATTGTATATATGGTTTCCATGAAAGGTCAGTAATAAACGATAATCCAAGAAGACATAAAGAAGAAAACTTAGTGAGAAGGTTGTCATTTATTAATATAGGATGTCGACAGTACTGTGATAGTTGTTTGCAGTTAATAACTGAGTTTATAATATATATATTTCTATATATATATATATATATATATATATATATATATATATATATATATATATATATATATATATATATATATATATATATATATATATATATATATATATATATATATATAATATGTTGATAAAATGTCATGTTTTGGAGCTAATTCATTTTTTAAAAGACGCCTACGCATTAAATTTTTTTGAATTAAACAGCCCAGTTTTTAATATTTATATTAAAACGTGGCATTTTACTAATTATAAAAATAAATGTTTATTTCAGTATTTGTTTAAAATTTTGTCAGTTTTTGTAAATTTTAAACAAGTATTTTAGCTTTTAAAACCTTTAAATTTATTTTATAAAAATTTTAATGCTTATAGAAACCAGTACATTCTATTACACAATTAAATTTATGTTATGTTATGTTATGTTTGTTTTTGCGCTTAAGTTTTTTGTCATTAAAAGTGTGTATAAAAGTAGTCATAAAAAAATTTTGAAATAATATTTATAAATTTAATTACGTAATAATTTTATTCTTTGATAATTTCAATAAAATTGGTTTATCGTAAACAATCATTAGAATTAATTTGTTACTTTATTTAATAAAGTGATAAGTAAACATTAAAATTTATGTATTTAATATACATAAATTATAATGTTTACTTAATAATAAATTAATAATAATTTACAAAGCATTATGCATAGTAAAGTATTTTTTTAAAAATGCAATATAAATATATTTTCTTTTTCAAATTTTAGTTTTTTGAGCATAGATTTTTTTTTAGATAAAAAACTTATCTAAAAAATAATCTTCAAGATACATTTTCTTTTTATTTTTAGGACATTAAACAAACCGCCGTGGTCAAGTTGAAAATAAAATTTTAAGCATGGTCAGGAATGGCCTGCATATATATATATATATATATATATATATATATATATATATATATATATATATATATATATATATATATATATATATATATATATATATATATATATATATATATATATATATATATATATATATATATATATATATATATATATATATATATATATATATATATATATATATATATATATATATATATATATATATATATATATATATATGTATATATATATGGGCAATTTCATTTTGAACTTATATATGTAACAACTTTATCAAATATTTGCCTATATAAACTGTAAATTAAATTTTTATCTATTTGGTATGAAAGCTGTTCGTCTCAAGAATAAAATAAGCTAAAAAGTTTTGAATCTGACCAAAAGAGGGTGAGCTTATTACTGAAAATGCCATTAAACTTACATTACGCAGAAAACAAGGTAAAAAATTAATCCAACTGTTAGGTCAGATTTCTGTTAATTAGTAAAACAAATTGTATTGGAAATTTTCACAAGATGTTGAGAATTCTATAACAATTCAAAAAAAACTTAAAAATTCATCAGAGGGTCACCAGCTAAAGAAAATGAACTTGTTTTTTTAATTATATAAATAAAAAACTTAATTTTTTTAATTAAATAAAAAAAAAACTTTATCATTTTTTTGTTAACTTATGTTACATGTAATGTTTTTTCACTATTTTCTTGAAATATATATATTTTTTAAAATATAAAATCTGTTCAACAATAAATTGAAAATGTTAGCTCTATTTTCATATATTATTTTCATAGCTCCGGTTACTATATTAACTTGTATTATGCAAACAAATTCATGGTTAAAATAACATTTTACAATGATATTTTTTAATGATGCGACAACGAGTAAAATAAAAACCTTTAGAAGCGTAAAAATGACTTAAATAAATACATTTTAGTACTAAAGGTATATTTTAAATAAACTTTCATGTGTCTACATCAATATTAATTTGCTAAAAGTTCACAAAAAAGGGAATAAAATTTGATTACTTATTCTTAACATATATGTTTCGTCAAATCTCATCAGAAGTGAATACTTGCATTAATAAACTTCAATTTATACCAAAAATTAAATTACAGGAAGTCATAAATGTTTTAACTTTAGTAATATTTCACAAATTTGTGGAATTTCCCACAATTGTTAAAAATGTCATCACTATTATAAAAAAATTCTTTAGAATTGTTTATTTCTGCTTATTTAATATATTATGTTCTTTTTACCTATTGTTAACTTTTTTTTTAATTAACTTGTTATTAAGTTACATTCATTAAGTACATAAGGAAAAATAATGTATGTCTAACTGTCCAATAACCAATCTAGAATAGAGACGCTTGTTACTCAACTTCTTAAATACAAAGAAACCACATGTAAAAATGAGTTAAGCAAAGTGAGTAACCAATTAACAAAGAAACCAAACAAAGTTATTGAGGTAATGGATGATTTTTCAAGTATACATGTTTCTGGAATAAAAATGTAGGAAAATTTAATGTAGAAATTAAAAGAATAAAAGACGAATTCGCTGAAGCAATTGATAACATGAACTAAAAAAACTTTTTTAAAACAACAAAGGATAGATCAAGCTAAACTGATGACAGAAGTTCAATCAATGATTAACTCTATACGTATGTTGTGTTAAATAGCTTGCTTTAGTAGGCGAAACCTAGTTCAGTTACTAATTAGTATTACAACTATATATGATCACCATAATTTCCAGTATTTCTTTAGACGTAAAGTTTTATACAGCATTTTGACAAAATTGGGAATTTGTCAAAATATTTCCTGATCATTTGCCCCCATTCCCTGAAATTTAAATGTTTTCCTGGAATTCATGGGGTCCTTTTCTTATACTCTTTCTTCTTCTACTCCACTTTAGAACTGCATACATTGATTGAACAACAAAAACAAAATACCGCCTGTAACATTTATTGAAGATGAATATGAAATCAATACAAAATTAAAAGTGGTTTCACAACGACACTGCAAAATAAGCTCCAATTTTAATTATTATTATTAAGAATAATACATTTGATTTGTTTGTAATCCTAACATATTGTTGTCATTTTCATTTTAAAAGTATTCTTTTGAATATATATTTGTTTTTTACTGGTGGGCATAATAGGGCAATTCTTAAAGTAAATACAGCGATTTATGTTCAATGAAAATCTCTGCGGAAAAAATCAAATGATCATCTACTTTTAATTATTATTTAAGTTCTGCTTAACGTCCTTTATGGACAAACCCTTACACCATCATGTAATAAATTGTTATATCAAAAGAAATTTTTTAAAAATAGAAAAATAAAAATAGCAAACACAAGCTCATAAAGTTTATATTTCACATTTGGGGCCATCTATAAATGATGTCAGTAAATATAAGGGGAAGGGGAGGGGTACTGAAAAGTTTGACAAGAACTGACAATGGGGAGGGGGGTGTTAAGACCAAAATAATGTCAATATAAGAAAAAAAAATTTAAGCTTAAACAAACAGATTTTATAGGTATTTACATCCACAATGCTGTATAGAAATCGCATATGTTTTGTGGGGACTTTGATGTAAATTTCTTAGAGACATGAAATAATTTTAAAAATTTACCAATGTTTTATTATTGTATTACCATTTGACTGAAAATCTAAATGTGTACAAATATCAACAATTTGTATATAAATTTAACAATTATTATTCAACAATTCAACAATTATTATTAAACTGATATCATATATATATAGGGGGGAGGGTGGGTGTCGGCCAAAAATTGACAGTTTGACAAAGGGGGGAGGGGGTTGAAAATTGAGAAAAATCACTGACATTATTTATGGACAGCCCCTTTATTGCAAGTTCAATTTTATAATTAATATTAATTTTCTCTATACATAAATCGCATAGCAAAATAAAGTTACATATACTAACCTAGCAGGCATTTGGTCCTAAAAAGACATCTTTTAAATGTTTATAAGACATCTTTTTAGGACCAAATGCCAGCTGGCAAGTCTGAGCTAAAACAATAAAATGTTGTTTAGTTACAAAAGAATCGCAAGCAATTGCAAGCTATCGTGGCAACAAAGAATACCAATAACTATTTTTTCATTCATTGTCATAAAATGTTATCATGACTATGGTTTATTCAAACATTTAATTTTGCTTTTATATTTTAAAGTCAAGCAAGTAGTGAATCTAGTTTTCTTATTTTTTTAAATTTCTAGTACCAGTTTGTTGTAATAAAAAAAACATTCTTGTTATTAAATGTTATTTACGTTTTAAATAAAAGCAAGCAGTAAGAGATTGCCCATAAAGTATGCTCGAAGAGGAAGAGAGCAAAAGGCGTTTATGAGATGGGGGAGGGGGGCACAAGGTCAATTATAAAAGTATGGAGACACTTAATTAAAAAAAATATCATAAAACGTTGGCATAGTAGGTGCAAAGCATTGGTACTCTTAGGGAAGTAGAGGGTACTCAAAAAAGCGTATGGTAAAATATGGAGGGAGGGGAAATGCCAAGGATAATGCAGATAAGGCAGTATTTGCAAAAGAACTTTTTCTCTAATTTGAATCTTGAATCTAATAAGTATACCCTTCCTGTCATCTATGTTAAACAGAATAACCCGTTGTTATACATCCAAATCAATCTGGCTTCTGTTGGTCAAAGTCAATTTCTGGATTAAGCTCTTCTAAGGCTTGTGGCCCTGACAACATTCCTGTCAGTCTTACAAAAGTGTTC